ACCATGTTGACCAATTGCCTTTAACTGTGCGGAGGACGCTGTGAATGTAAGTGCTGACCTAGCACAAAGAGTTATAATAGAGGGGCTTTAGTCTAACAGAGGCCCTGAGCAGAGAAGCTGCCGACGTGTGTGCAATGCTGCCACATAATAGGCTGAACACATATTTCCCCAGCAGCATATTTTGACTGAACACTGGGGTCAACCAACAATAGAGAGCTCTTACAACACATGGCCAAGCCTTAACAGTAGTAGTCTTGTGACTAAACATGATGACCCATCAAGTAATAATCTGTACATTTTCATTTATGACTCTGACAGTTGTACTATTTGGGGTTTTTTTTGAGGGGAAAAACTGTTTATCACATGAACTGAGTCATTTTCAGTCTCCTGTCACTAGGTTTTAAGCAATCAATTGTTGGGTTTGTAACATACATAGGAAGTGCTGTCAAACCAATATGAAAGTAGAGAAGAAAAGAGGAAGAGGACATCATTTTCACCCTGATCACAGTGTCAACAAAGCTCTCCTTGAGGCGTACAAAAGAATTTGGATTGATCAACCTAAATAGAATGAAATAAATCAGCAGAAGCATGATTCCAGATTTCTATAGCACACATAGGCTTCAAGCATAAGTACTAAAACCTGTTGAACATCACCTTACATACTGTATGTTTCATAAAATGTCATTACGACGCCGTGGGTGTGGAAAAATTAAATCTCAAGCATAGTAAACAGGATAAGCAGTAGTGGAAAGTAACTATGTGCATTTATTCAAGTACAAATTGTCCACTTTTTTGTTACTTTTGCTTTACTTTCCATTTCATGTTAGTTTATACTTCTATATTGTGCTTTTTACTCCACTATATTTTTCTGACAGCCACTTATCCCCAGCTCAAACTGTCACAACTTTAAAATCAGCAATAATAATCAAATATTATGCAACATAACACTGACAAGTGCCATTCTGTTGTATATCAAGTAATTTTACTTTTGCTACCTAAAATCCATTTTGCTGTTAATACTTCTGTACGTTTACTCAAGTTACAGCGCACTGTACAAAAAGAAATTATTTTATCAGATCATATGAACAAGATGTGGTTGCAAAGAGCATTATGAGAGAAACTTTGAAAACTTTGTCCACCTGTCAATGTAACTAACGTTAAGTCAGCGGTGAGAGAAGTATTTAATCAGTATTCACATGCTTGAGATAAGTAAAGGGAGTGATGGTGTTGCATCACTGTGTATAAGTGTTTTTAATTCATTTCTCAAAACTAAATTTATGTCTAATGGAAAGACTTTTACGTTAACTTCTTTGGTGAAGGCAGTAGAAATATAACATAAGCACCAGAATTGAGTGAAACAAAGTGAACGTTCCCAGTTGTCCATGGCAAAGTGATTGTTACAAGCCGAAATAAATTTACACCACTGTGCAGCCTAATCCATACATTGCAATAATACTTTCACATCCTCAGTGATGTCTGCAGGGAATACTGCAGAACCTTGCACATTGAAAATTGCACCCCCAATGAGTTTGACACCCTATGTGATCAGGACATGAATAAAACTATTTCAATCAGTTTGTCTAGGTTTGTGCAAACTAAATACAAACTTTTTGCTAAAATAATTTCTCAGAAAATAATAGTAAAATTTTAAGCATAGGCCTATTATATCAGCAGCCCACTAATACCCAAATGTCTCCAAAGTGTTCCCATTTGTTTGTAGGTCATTTGCGCACATTTGTCTAAGCAAAACAAACATCTGTGCCTCTTTATTTCCAAACCTATCACATTTTATTTATGCACAAGCAAATGAAAATGGTTCTGGTCATATCCTGATCATACGAAGATCCTACCATCTCAAGCGGCCCAAGGCATGAACAGAAATAAAATCACTCAAATTTTCTATTTTCTATTCTCTTCTAACATTCCATGAATAGAAAATTGAAAAAAAGAAAATTGCAAATCTTAATAATATATTTGACAAATTAAAAACATGTTGAAAATTTCAGTTCAGTTTTTGAGTTTTCATTATCTATATTGGAAAAAGAACGGATACATGTACCAAAAATGACTGGTTCATTTTCTTGTGGTCGCTTGTAGGGAATCAAGGTTTGTTCTCTGCAAGTGTATTCTGAGTGGTTTGTTTCATCCTTTTACTTTCAGATGGCCAGAAGAGAACAATAGCAGGTTAACTCATGTTGCACCGAATCATTAAAGTAGAGCGGGTTAAAATTTGAGACTCTTTGCCAAGAGGTGCAGTGTCATTCATTAGAGTGAGAACATAATCCAAGGTGCACACATTAATGGACATCAGGGCTCAGGTGCTGATGTCTGACACCAGGCATTTCGTAACGCTTGAAAGGCTGAGACTGCCCACCATTTGCATCACACATCTCACTGAAACTGGTTTTTGGAACAAGTCTCTAAACAGCAGGCAAACAGCACCAATAGGCTATAACCAAAGTCTGTGTCACCTCTTTACATGTGCTGCTTCTCTTGTAAATGAGTTGTTTTGAATGTAAGCAAATGTTTCAATATGGGTTGGAGCAGGGAGAACAGATAACATGAGATTACATCATAGACTGTAACATAATTAGTTTGACATAGTTATGGTTCTCTACATAATGGGTGCTCTTCGCCATGAGGGTGAAATATTACAGGAATGCAGAACATTTCTGTTATTTAGGTTGTGGTCACATGTTGATTCACTGTGAGTTTAATCGTACGGTCTGTTGGCCCTGATAACTGGTAACTGACCTGGTAAGCAGGATATAAAAATATATAACAAATATTCTGGTTTACTACAACATTATTTTTCTTTGCCAAGAAACGCAAGCAGTCAGGCAATCAGACAGTTTGTCCAGATTATCTAAAGCACTTTACATGTCGGTGAAACTGACAGTGAGTGCACCTGAAATAACAATAATAATCCCTCATTGAACAGGAAACCAAACTGTGTGGGTTCACCGCCACTGCATAAGTCAGAGAGTGGTTCTATAAACTCTGATGGATGTTTGCGTGATAATTTTACCATTCAGCTTCATTTCTGCTTGTGTTTCTATAATTTTAACAAATTAACACCGGTGAATAAAAAGTATAGAAATAAGGCCCAAGTCGTAGTAAACTGATTAATCTAAGTGTCGCACTACGGATCAGACTGATTTCACCGAGCTTGAAAAATGTAATGAATTCGAATGAAAGCAGATATTAACACAGTGCTGCAACCATGATCCAGCCTGACTTCATGCGTCAGTGGAATGGACAACAGGATATGATGGGGAAATGTGCATATGTGTGTTACAATACCTTTAGGGCAGAAAATAGTAGTAGTATTAACTGTTTTCTCATCAGTAACACCCCCTGTAGCACTACCAATGAAAACAATAAAAAAAAATAGTAAGAAAAGCTCTTGATAGCCTGGTTCTAGATCTTTGAATGACTGCCTAAAGCTCCTGCATTCGCAGCTATCCACATAGGCTTAGCGCGTTTTTGTATTCCTGCTGGAGCTATAAAAATGACAAGTATTGAAACAAACATTGATGCACTGGTCACAACTGTACAGGTTGTTGCATTTTGTCTTACTCACAATCTGCATATTTTTGGACCAAGTCAATCGAACAATCAGTAATGCTGGTGTGCGCTGATTTTGGCATAATTGTTCTTTGGTTAAAAGGTCAAATAAACAGGTATTTCCTTATTTTTGCATCTTAGGCTGGCTTCAGACTACCTTAAGGGTTACCACAGGTCACAGAAGCTACCAGTAGCAGCCAGTTCATAATGAAGACAAAGGTGTCATATCATAAACATCATAGTGAACATTGCTGGTTATAAATGCTGGCACATGCCATGTGCAGTGAAGTAGACAATGTTTGTACAAATGTGGATGTAGCGTTAATTTACAACTGTTTTTGTTTTTAGTCAGAACTTGTATTTAGTGTGAAGTCAAATCCAGTTGCATAATATTATAACTTTGGCTTTTGACTGACACACCGAGAGACCAGAGGAAGACAAGAGAAGAGAGATTGAAAGACTCTCCTCACATCATCATCTGATATACTTTTTATAAAACAACGCTGTGTGTGTCTCCAGAGTCCATTTCCAGAAGTCAGTTTGTCCTCTAAACCTTATCCTAACTGTTAAAGTTCATTTTTTATCGTAATTTTTGACTGTGACCTGCAGTAACACTATTATATGTTAGAACAGTGTGGAAACTTGGCTCTTTGTTGTAGGAACCAGATTTCAGCATAAAACACAAAAACCATCAGTGCATCCCTGAAAGCAAGATATTATTTCACTCTCAATTACTCTCAGTATCGATAAAGTTTAGCTGTAATCGAAACCCTAATATTTTCTGACAGACACCTGTTATGACTTGTGCTGCTGCTGGTGATGGCAACACACACCAAGTTCCATGAAATGACTATCAATTAAGCCCCACTACAAATTGAACCTTTAGTCAAACTTAAAAAAAATAAATGAAAGGTTATAAAACAACATTTAGACCACTGAAAACAAACTCAACACGGAAAAAAAAAGAACATATTCAAACATACTCACGCTGAATCTCATTATGTTTTTGAGTATGAAATGAACATAAATCCTTTCAAATTAATCATTAACGAGAACTACTTTTTATGACTGTGTCCTGTGCTTTTACAATCTGTTGGCCATATTCCCTTGTTAACATATCCTGCCCAATCTGAACCTGGTTCAGCTCTTTAACCTTTCTGGGATACTCCTGTAAACTCTGAATCTGGCCGGCAACATCCCAATAGAGACATGGTGAAAAGGTGCTACGACTCTCGTATTATTTACTCATCTGACTTCATCAACATGTCACATCCAACTCGTTTTTTTCCCATGTCTTACCTCTCTAACTCTGTCAGTCTGCTACTGCAAGCTGACGCCTTTAGCCTTGAACATTGGAAGGTATTACAGATTTCATTTAGAGCAACTTCTTTCAGCACACAAACACACACATACATCCTGTGTTTCTTACTTACCGGGCTCTTTATTTTGAGAACAGATAAATCCTCCTCCTCTCCTCTCCTCTGCTCAGCTCCTGTGAACTCACTCTCTCTTTGTATCTGTCTACCTGCGAGACACACTTTTTCTGCCTCACGCTTTCCAACTGCTTTTTTTCTTTCTTTCGCCCTCTGCTTTCTGCCACTTCGTCAGACCTTCCTCTTCTCTTTCCTCCCGTCTTTTTTTTCCTCTCGGTACAGTAGTTCATTTGAAGGGCGTTTTAAATGTCTTCTCTGATTGCCCTGAAGGTCCCTGTCTGAGCGCCTGTGTAGAGAAACACGCTGTGTGCTGGAGTGGGTGGGCGCTTGTTTTAAAGTGGGAGGAACCACTGGTCAGCAAGGGGAGACCTCTTTACCTCCCTCTATATTGTGCTTCATAGAAATGTGTCTGTATTTTTTGTATTTTAGTTTCATGTTTCAGTTTTATGTTTCTAATGAATGAATGAATGAATGAGGAAGTTAGTAACTTCCCCACAGGCACATTTGAATGTATCACCAATGCATCACCATCCAGGAAATGCAGTCCCAAATATGATTCCCCAAATTAAAAAGTCAGCCATTACTGGCCACCAAACTATATCTAACCGTCCTGCAGGAGCTGACATTGGCACTCAGCAGGACTTAAGATTAACAGTTGTTGAAAATTTGTGCAAACATTGGCAAACTTCTGAATAGATAACAAACTCCCAAAGCAGTGACAACTGTAGGGGGGTTGAATTTTTATATAACTCACTCCTTTAAATTTTATTCAGGCTTAAAGTTATGCATAATTGTGGGTTAGCTGCTTTGAGTGATAGGTGTGTGATCATATGCTCACCACTGCAGAGGATTTCTGAGGCTGTGTTAGAGTGACTGTTGGGTTCTTGGTCACACCCCTGACCAAGGCCCTTCCTGCCCTGTTACTCAGATTGGCTGGACAGTCAACTTACTGGTGGTTACAAAATTCTTTTATTTCACAATTATTTAGGTCACTGTGCTGGGAGCACTCAGCTCTCTGAAACTATTGTACATACAATATTGTGCAAAAGTTTTAAGCATTTAAAGTAAAGTGAGTATGCTTTAAAAATAATGCCATGAATAGTTTTTGTATTTATAACTTAACTTCATACAAAATGCAGCTTTAAATTTTGTCCAATGTCGTGTGTTTTCCCCATTTTGAAAAATGTAAAACTACAATAGCCATGATATCTCTACAATACATATTTTCTTAAACAAAAAGCAAGGGAATTGACATTTCTTGGTGTTTTGACTCCAGACCACCATGACGAACAGAACATCATAACACTCACTACAAGGATAATGGATAGACATTAATCTTAATTGCTCATGGCCCGCAACTTGGACGGGCACTTCCAGATAGTGTAGCGACTGTTACCTCTGTTAAAACCCAAGATAGACGTGTAAACCATTCCCTACTATCACAGACTGAAACCTCAGTCAAAGCCAAAGCCTTATCCTAAACACAAAACTGGTAACTTTGTCTATGTACCAGAATCAGACAGTAGTGAGCTTGTTAGCCTGTTAGCCTATTAGCTTGTTAGCATGCGCATTAAATATAGAATTACAGCATGGTTTGGTTACTGAACAGTGCAACTAAAAAGCAGGTTTGAAGGTAATAGAGACAAACGAACACAAGCCCATACGAGCATGCAGTCATGAAACAAGCAACAATAATCTTTTGTAGACTCTCAGCATGCACTCTTCTCTGAATACAAACCACTGCCAAAGTGCAAATCAAACCACTTGAAGTAATTGTTTGTTTTGCCGAACCCTGATGCTAAGTGCTAAGATGCTAAGCTAAATAATGCAGTGCAGCAGTGAATGAAGTGCCTGTATACACAGGCACTTTAGCACTTAGCAGTTTTATTCTTAATGTTTCTTTGTAAACATTTGTGTTGTCTGCATCAAATATCAAACTCTCTAGTATTGTCAAGTGCTAACTATGTTTCTGTGGTGTTTTTATGTAAAGCAACAGACTGTAGCGCTGAGCCCAAGACAAATTTCCCCTCAGGGACAATATAGTTAATTTTTTTTACAAATGTTTATATGGGCATCTATTGACAGAGATAGGTCTTGGACATATGTGATTGGAGGATGAATGTGTTTTAAAGTACCAAACCGTAGCATTTGACTATGCTCAGTGATACCGACACATAGCAAAGCAGTACTCAATTTCAACGCTTAAGCCCAGTAGTGGAAGTTTACAGTTATACAAAAAGTTAATGTGGTGAAATGTTAGTGGCTCATCTAATTATTTATTTGCTTGTAACTATTTATTTTGGTAAAGAATATTTATTTAACATTTAGTAATATTCAGCAATATATAGAATGCATGTCCTCAGTTACATCAGCTGATGCACACATCATGTGGAACCTAACCTAATTATGACTGTACATCAACAGGAGGATAAGTGTGTCTGTGTGCATGTGTAAAATTGCACAAATCAGTGCCAGCACTTCGGTTGTAAGCGTTTTCTAAGATAGCAGCCATACACAGTTAGGCACTGAGCACATAAGACTAGCCCATTGTGTCCCCATACTTGTGGACATTCTTAGTTATAATGAGGTTAGAAGAGCACTTCAGTTACAGTCTGGGATGTCCACTTACAGCACAGATTTGTAACATCGAGGAGGAGTCTGTAGGTGCTCAACGCTCAAGCGTTTACAGACAGACAAACATTTCATCCAGTTCCTCTATGTGTGTGTGATATGACAGATGGGAGCATCCGATGAGATTGCTTTGAGCTTTATTGGCCTATAAAATTATAATGTACATCAAACTGCCTTTTAGCACGTTTCCATGGGACAAAAAGGACCATTATTGCCTGTACATATTTGTGTTGTCCAGGTATATTTTGTTTTATGGGTATAATAAAGGCTTCAAAACTAGTTTGACAAAAAAAAAAGTCTCAACTCAACCCACTTACAAGCTTTCTACAGAGCTTTCAACCGCATCTCATTCCATATGGTTGAAAACTCTGAAAACAGATGGTGGAATTGGAGCTATTTTTTAACAATTTTATATAGTGTTGGGCTGTGTAATCTACAGCAGGGCATCATATTTTATCAGATCATCACTTCTTTTGTATGTAAAATGTTAATCTGTGAAGAAAACAGAAACGTGTCAGATAAATGTCAGCTTAAGTAAAAAGCTGACTTCCTCGGTGAAAAGATTCCAGCAACACTGATTTAGTAACTTGTGACAATTGGATACGAAATTGCAGTTTCCTGAAGACACACACAGTGTTGATTGAAGTCCTTGCAACTGAACGTTAAGAAGCAACATAAAATAGTGGAAGGAGTGAGTGGTGAACATGGATGACTGACTCACTCTCACAGGAAAGTCCTGTACTTTGTTTTTAGCTTGTTTGTTGTAGCCTCTTATTATGGTGATAACAGAAATTAGACTCTCCTTAAGAGTGAATAGGCTAAATTGCTAAAACTTCTATGTATAGATCAATTGGATTGAGTATGAGAACAAAGAAGCTATTTTTACTACGTCTTCTCTTTCCACAGTGAATCACTAGTTTCAGTAATCGTGTCTCTTTCGTGTCAATTGGGAGACAAATCCTGATGAAGTCTGATCTCACTGCACATTCACAACACCCACCAAACAATCCTCTCAAAGAACGTGTCATTACTGGTGTTTTCATGTTGCTGTCATTAGCTAGTTAGAGGGTCCAAATGGGCAGTTTAGCTAACAACAGCAGAACCACAGCATAGACTGACTCAGGAGGCAAAATGCTGGCCTCATGTGACCAAAGAGCACTTCACTGACACATTTATTACTGGTTACTGATTTTGTTTGTGAGTTTGCAAAGAGCAACACTGGATAGATGAATAAATCAGTGGTTTAGGGAGGGTAATTCTGCTAGGGTTTCATTATGTGTTCTTTCTTTCCTCTTTTTATGCAGACACATCATGACAGAGCTGATTGAAACAGAGAGGCTATATGTGGAGGAACTGCAAAGCATCATGGAGGTATGTTATGTTAGCTGCTTATGAAGCCTGGTCTAATCTTTTACTTTTATGAGGGATCATTATACTATTACACCTATAATTTAGGGTTATAAAATAATCATACTCCACCTGACCATGCCCTCCAGGGTTTAATATGTCCAATCAGTTTTTCTGTGAGATTACACATGCAACAAAGATTAAAAAGCAAGACTGTATTGATTCTGACTGACAATATATCTACCACATGAAACATAGCATGGTAGTGTATATTTGTTTGTAATTCATTCTCATCACCCATAGTTGTTGATCAGTGGACTGAGTTTGACATTGCAGAGGGGCAGAGGTTAAGATTCTCTGTTTCTCTGGTTGAACTGATTGGTTATGATGTTTTGCTGATTCGCCAATTTATTTATGGCTAAATGTGATATCTTTTTCTTCTTCATCGTCTCATCTTTCTAAACCTCCTCCCCAGGGTTATTTTGCAGAGCTAGATAACTCAGAGCTCAGCCACCTCACCCCCCCGTCCCTGGAGAACAAAAGGGATGTGCTGTTCGGCAACCTGCCAGAGATATATGAATTTCACAACAGGTAGGTGGAATGCATTTTGTACATTGCCCTGCCTTATACTTCTTGGAACACTTTATCAATGACAGACAAAACAAGATAAAAACCAGTCCGCACCAGATTGGAATAAAATGTAAGGCCAAGTCCAATATTTTCTCTCCTTTTATCTCTTTTTTTGGTCTCCACCAACTTTAGAGGAATAATATCTGGCTATTTTGCTGCTAAATGTTCCACTATATTAACCAGCTAGTTGCTAATGTGTGCTTTTGAAGAGCATCTCTGTTGGGGGTTTCTGTTTACATTATATCTGAATTTATTGTTATGATGTAAGGTATGCAACGGGTTTCTCACTTTTTAACTTAAATAAAACACACTGTGTCTTTTAGCAAACATTTCCATGTGGTGTTTGGATAGTTGGCTAGTGGTGAACTTAAAAGTTCATGTCTTTTTAAACCAGTGAAAAGACACATCTCAAGCGCCATTTCCATGCACAGTTGAAAAACAAATGTATTTGCTATTGATGCGTTGAAGAAAATACTAACTTTTAGAAAAAGAATTGAACATGAAACTGGCTCTCCTTGACATTACTAGGTGACATATTTTGCACATTTAGGTCTGCACTCTGAGCATGGACGGGTCCCTGCGCACAGGGATAGCGGCCCAAAAGGTCACAGGGCCCTGGGCCAGAGCCTCTGAAGTAAAATACCATTTCTTGTTGGAAAAAGTCACATAGTTTAGTTGAGAGAAGGGATGTGTTTTTTGCTACTGATTCTGATCAGTCTTTTAGTATTGAATATCTGAAAACCAAAGTCAATCCAGTATTTCTTTTTGTTTATTTTGTTTCATTCATATTACAGAGCCCTGAGGCTACAGTAGTGTTTCATTAAGATACAGTAAGATTAGTATAGCAATTTAAATTAGGATCAGCTCTGCTTTAAGAAAACACTGCACGTCAGGACGAGGAGAGAGAGATCAATAGCACTGTGTGTGGCGGAGTGGAGCAGACTCCACTGTGGTTCTGTGAGGCCGTCATCTCCCTCACGTCTGCCTCCCCACCAAACTATGTCTGGAAAGCTCAGAGAAAAGAAGTTAAAATCCAGAAAAATCCAATTGTTTCAAATAGCTTTGCATCTAGCAGCAGTATCTCTGCAGACAACAGACAGGAGCAGAACAGCTGAGCGGGTTCAGGACCACAGCTCCCAGTGAGTCCAGTTTTACAGACGTGATAGGCAGAAGTCAACAGGAATCTAATCTCAAGTCTGAGAAGTGTAATGTTTAAGTTGAGTTTTCTGCTCTTCTTTCATCATAAATTCCAATGCACTGATTAAATAAATAAGTTTAATGTACTGATTGTTCTATTTCATGTACTGTTCTCCTCTGTTTGCTACATGATTCATATAAAGTATTACACAGGCCATATGTGACAGAGTGTCTCCAGATGGGTTCTGTTGGGCCAGTCCCAAGTTAAAAGTCCAGGGCCAATATTTATTCCCACCCCATCCCTCTGCCCTTCTTATTATCATCCTTGATAGATAAGGGAGTGATGACAATACAGTACATGCTTTGTATTCCACTGATATGGCCATGTAGTGTTTTAAACAGACTGGATGGCATACAGCAGGTGATAGAATGCTCATTACAATCTTAAGATACCTGAAACTTAATTTGGACTTGCCCTTCAAAGACTTAAGACTTGAATTAAACTTGAAAATATTGACTTGACTCGCAATCCCTCCGTGACTCTTGAGCACAATCTGATTTTACATCAATCCAGAAGCCACTTTGGAAAAATATGATGCCAGTGCACACATGTCATATATAAAGTATAACCTGTTTATGTTGACAGTTTTTACTAATTTCCTGCGCCCCCAAATAACTCTATGTGCTTGGTCAATATCTGTTGATGTGAATCTGTGAATAATGTTCATAAATGTTTTGTGGCTGGTTTGGTATTCAGGAGACAAATGCAGAAGATTTTGTGGTATCTTCCATTCACTCCCACTTCCTGTCAATCCACTATCTGCATTCCAGCTTCTCTGTTTGCTGAAGGCAGTCACACACACGCACACACACACACACACACACACACACACACACACACACACACACACACACACACACACACACACACACACACACGTTGTCATAATGCATTCCCCTGGCCCCTTATCCTAACCTTACTCATCACAAATAAATGCCTAACCCTACCCCTACATGACCCCTACCTGACACAAGTCCTCACTGATTAGCATGCATGCATTCAGGTCCCCACTCACATATAAGAATAAGAACACACACATACACACACCTATTGTTTTAGTGAGGTCTTGTATGAGAGGAACAGCAAATGAACAACGTCAAGACGGTGCACTTGAAGTCATATGATCTCCCTGAGGACAAAGTGTTTTGTGACCCTGGACCCACACCTAAGAGCACTGATAATGTATCATAAACTCACTAAATTACATCATATAATTACATACAGCAGCTTTTTCATGTGGTGGTCATGTGTGTTGAGCGGTTCAATATCCATCCTGTTTGCGTAGTTCACATTTTAGAGTAGGAAGCACCTGTGTACTTGCTTTAACCTTGTTCCATGTGATCTATATAGTCATTCTTTCTATAACTGTGACTCAGTCAGGATGCAGCATTGTTTCAAAGAAATTAGCTCTTTGTGTTTGTTGAAATGAGACACTAGTCATTCTATATCTTGCTTGACCTTTGCTTTGCTAGCAGTGTTGCGTGTTTTTTCCATGATGATCACCGTGACTGCTGTCTGTGGATGAGGCCACACTGCTGAGTAATCAGTTGCAGTAATCCGTTTTGTTTTGGTTGTGTTTAACAAGGAGGATGGAAAGAGGTCATCCAAGGTGAAAAACAAATGGACGTCTTAGAAAAGGAAAAAATCCCAATTATCTAGTGATATTCATCTCCACTGGGTGTGTGTGAGTTTAGTCTTTTCAAACTTTGACCTCAGGAATGTGAGGGCCTCAGAAGTCCAGGCAGTTTGATAGAGGAGGTGGTTTATGGTTACAGCCTTGCCAACGCAATCTCCTATACCAATTGGGTTGTCTAACCTCACATAATTCCCATCAAAGCTCCACCTACTAAGCTCCACGCCTTCAGTTACTGTCACTACTTCTGCCAACCTTTCTATTCTAAGTCAGTCATATAAGTGGTTTACAGTGACAGATTAACCACCAGTGGGTATTTGATTTCAATGATGAGTGTCACTGGCAGATTTTATCACCTGTAGCTGACTGACATTTTAATGATTCCAGCTGACTTTTAATTGTTTGTTTGAAATGACTGTAACATGTATAAGGATCTTAGATATGCTAGAAATACTGAGGCTGAGCTCTTTTTGTCTCAGGCAAAAAGTCAGCATCCTCACCAATGGTCTATGTAAGAGACATGGAAGTAAAGACACAGCATTGCTCTTGAATTGCAGCGTGGAGCTCGTTAGTGCTTGTATTATTGTGCAGTATTGTAAATAAAAATTTGATGGAAATGTTATTTGCTCTAATATATTCTTGTTTGGATGCTTACTTTAGAAAAAAAAACAGGTTATGTTTAGGCTTTATTGTTTGGATTTACAAAAAATATATTTCACTTTTACAAAAGAAAAACTGAGGATGAAGACAAACTGAGGAGTTTGGGAATGCTGTCTCTGGCAAAGAGACTATGTGCAAACTGAGTGTAAATATCACCAGATCAAATAAAGAGCAGGACAATAGTTCTTGGCGGCCTAAACCCTAATAAAGTATCATGCACAGTGGATGTTCCAGTCTAATTTTTCTAACATAACCTGTAATCCCAAAACATAATTTAGTAAGTCATGCCCCTTAGATTTGGAAGTTACACCAGGTTAATATTGTGATAGTTGTGAGAGCTACTGTACATATCACTCACATACTCAGCCTGTATTTAAGCAGACAAGCTATTTAATTTTTTTTATTTTTTTATTTCCTCTTAAGCAATGTTCATACGAGATACTAGCAATATCTTTCCTATGACCTATTCACACCACCCCAGCATTTGCACCGGAAATTCTGAACTTGACAGATCAGCGCTGTCTAGTTTCAGTTCCATAGCTATTATTGGATAGTTGCAGGTTCAAGGAAGTGGTTTACTAAGGCCTTTTCCAATTTTTAATGATTTGTTAGTACTTTTTTGTTTGTTACTGTATACTGTATATACTGTATACAGCATGAAACAAATAAACATGTTTTATAGACAGGAACATTAAACTTTTGTGACTCTGAAGCTGGCATGTGCGGACGTTTTAGCTGTGGAGCCCTGATTTGTCTTTACTTCCCTAAAGTGTCAAGCCACAGTGTAATTTATAGACCCGTGTGTATCCTCAGTATGTGTGCATGTGTTTCACATGCAAGAAAAAAAAAAGTACCTGTGCCGACAAGATGGTAATTCAAGGCAACTATCAATAAGCAGAATCTTTACAGACATCACGGGCCATTTAGGCTGATTACAGACTCCGAGGAGGCTTGAACCATAGGGTTGTTCCTATTTTTCCTTTATCTCCATTCACTCTCTTTTTTCTTGCACCTCTTTTCCTCTCTGTCTTGCTGCCTGTTTTGTCTTGACTCTTTTCTCTATCCCACTATGTTTTCTCTTCCTGTCTCACTGTCATCCCTCTCAGTAAAGCTGTGAAGTGCGCCCTTCGTTTAACTGGATTCTTTCATTTCATAAAATAAGGGGCCAAGACCCTCTTGAACTTGGAATTGAATTGAACTTGGAGACTTGAAAGAAATAGAATAATAAAAGTGGTAAAAATCTGAGCAGCAGAGGCCAAAATATCTTCACTTTTAGGCACTAATATGACTTGGTACTTTCCGTAATGCAATCAATATCAATTTAGATCCTCCATATCTACTAAATGTCTGCATCTTTCGATCTTCACAACCCAGTTAATAATGCAGGCTTTCTGTTTGAGGTCTCGAGCTCAAACTGAGATTACTTTGATGATGTCATCAGGGTTACAACTGTTTTGATAGGCTGAATAGCTTTGCTCAACGGCTAATAAACTGACTTCCTGTGTAAAACTTGGTGGAGGGGGGCACAGAAACTGGCATCTAGCTTGTTAAAGGGAAATAATAATGTGTGTTGTGTTCTTTTTCTGTCCATAAATTACCTGCAGGACATTTCTGAGGGAGCTGGAGAATTGTACAGAGAAACCAGAGCTGGTGGGAACCTGCTTTCTGAAACGAGTGAGTAGTACAGTTCCCCAAGTACTGCACTTAAGTACAATTTTTCAGGTCCTTATATTTTACATGATTATTCACATTTTTTGGTTTCCTGTATAATGAATACTTTTTAAATTACTTTCAATAGTTATTGTTCTTTTACTTTAGTATATCTGAGTACTTTTATAATGTGATATCATTTCTTTTTCTCAAGTAAAGATCTGAATCCTTCTGACTAAAGGAGCAAGTTAATGAATGAGTCTGAGCATTTGTGTATGTGTGTATACAGTGGTATACTACATGTGTAGCAAACTCACTAATCATTTTATTACACCTGGAATACATCAGCTCAGCCATAGAGATAAAGATGTACAGTATTTATTGACACTTTCATAGAGGTGCTAATTTATTGATTATTATTGAGGCTATACTTTGCAGTGGTGTTTAACTGGACTGCATTACAGTAGGAGATCTTTCAAATAATTTGCCTAGCCTGTTTATAAATGTGACGGGGGAACAGTACCATAAAAATGCAAATGTATATTTGTAGGAAACTGGGTCAGTATATACTCTGTTGTCTATTGTCTCATGATAATGGACTCCCTTAATGAGTAGACGAGGTCTACCCGTTAGTGATGTGCAGAACCGATAAAACTTGATATTCCAGCAACAGCTGAAACCGACCAGAAACGGACAAGAGATGATTTAAGGGCCTCTCCTCATTCAGTTATTGTCTTTGTGTTGACAGAAAGAAGAGCTTCAGGTGTATGAGAAGTACTGTCAGAATAAACCCCGCTCTGAAGTCCTCTGGAGACAGTGTGGAGACAGCCTCTGCTTTCAGGTAACACACACACACACACACACACACCACCAACAACACAACAACCCCATATAGCAACTAACTAACGTAACTGTCTGAACTTGTGACCCCTGTACGATTTGGTTTGTCAAATATCTTGTTAGGGATGGAGGTCATGAGTAAGTTCAGCCATGAAGATCTTATGGTGCTGTAAAAATTCAGTCTGTGCTCTGTTACTTCCCATATCAGGAAAACAATGCCCAACCTGATGGTAAAATTTTAATCTTTTGACGGAAACGTCTTGAAAATGCTGCTATCCCATTTTGTGACTAAGTTGAAGAAGAAGTGTCTCTTCCTGATGGAGAACGTTTGGTGTTTCTGACAACAGGAATGCCAGAAGAAACTGGACCACAAGCTCTCCCTGGATGCCTACCTGCTGAAGCCTGTCCAGAGGATCACCAAATACCAACTCATGCTCAAGGTAACTACCTACACACACACACACACACACACACACACACACACACACACACACACACACACACACACACACACACACATTAAAATGCTCTCAGCTGTATGACAGTGTATGCTGTTATGACATGAACTCTGAAGGCTGCTTGCTTGCTTTAGTTGAGCTTGTTTAATCTACGAGATCCCATTAAAAATTATCCAAATTTTGTTTGACTAAAATGTCAGTACATTAATAACAGCATTGTTTTGTGTAATTATCTGTCTAATTAGTTCGGTCTGCTCCACGTAATCCCCCACAGGAGTGACAAGAAACTCTCTGAGTCTGGAGTCGCAACGAGGCTTTATAGTCTTTTACCATGGAAACCAGAGTAATCAACATTTGAAGATCCTATCTGTAACAAATGTGCAGATGTCAGCTCAAAGTTATAACATAATGAGAATATATGTCCTTCAACTCACATTCCATGTTCCAGAATAAACACATTTTGAATACGTTATTATTATTAAGCAGATTTTGCACAGCCTGATAACACATCCATATCAATGACATTATAAACTGCCCTTTATCCTATGGAAAATCATTTTATAGAATATACCATTACACCATAGCATATTAATAAAAAAGAGGAAATAACAGAATTCATGCTGTATTCACTCTTATAATCACAAAACAACTGTGCTACATGTCACTGTAATGTAATACTTAATGTATACTATTAGCTGAAGATCCCAGAAGTAAGATCTCCTGTTGTGATTTCACCAAAACTGATTTGCTTGATCATAAGTATCAGTCCTGTGGAAGCCCCCCCCCACGCCCTGCAGCAAATCCAATAAAACCAAGTTTGATGGAGGCTCTGCATGTCCCGACTCACTGTTTCCCCGTAATCAAACTTTGATGATCTCACCTGCAGATTCCTCTTTGTGGGTGAGCTGAGGATCTACAGTAGGACTTTGTTCTGGCTCTCACAGTTTGCTGTTATTGGTGGTTTACTCACCCAGTGTTCTGATTTTTCCCGCCACTCCATCTTAATAAACAGATGTCCCAGGACAAGAGAAAAATAAATAAATAGATAAAAAAAATATATAAAAAAAGAAAAAAAAGAAAGACATTGAAAAACTCAACTATAATGCTATGACATAAACTTTATGGTGTTACATCTCAGCGTAACATCGTCTGGTTCTTCTGAAGTGGGGGCCCTATTTATTTAGAGCAGCTGCTGAGTGGACATCACTTTGACACTACAAAGTCAAAATAATTTCAAAATTGAATTTCTTGCTTTTTGCAAAACACTTGAGGATACAACTTCCCTGACTTCCCTGTCACTAATACTCAGTAAATCATTTAAAGTTTGTGCAACTTAGAAACTTGTTAAATTCTGTCAAGTGTAGGAAGACGGGCTGAATTCAGTCATACTCATGGTTAACAATCATGACTTAATTTAACATGTATTAAAAACACACAGCCAGTTTCCATCATGAATGAGTCCTTCAAAATAAGAGTCTCTGGGAAATTTGAATTCTCAAACAGTGCATGCTGGGAACTCTCTGAATATGCTAGTTTTGTTTATTTAAAAACCATCAGCAGTTCATTCAATCATTTTCAAATCAAAAGTCCTCAAGTTAGAACAATGTGTTCATAAGTTCTTAAGTGGTCTCTAAATTAAATTAAAATTAACAAAAAAGGAAAGGTTAATTTATTCCACTAAATTCCTGTATGATGTTTCACAATGTAGAGAAGCTGTTGCCTGGACAACAGCCCCACATCCTCAGCCTGATAACTCTGTTATCAGTGTTAATGATTAACTTCCTTCCCCTCTCTTCTCTTCTCTTCTCTTCTTTTCTCTTCCTCCTTTCTGTCTTCCAGGAGATGCTAAAATGCAGTAAGAGCGAGGGGGTGGCTGAGCTAGAGGAGGCTTTAGCTACCATGCTGGACATCATCAAGTCTGTCAATGACTCCATGCATCAAATAGCCATCACTGGCTTTGAGGTCAGTACGTAGAATTACTGTATATCATGATGATGATGATGATGATGATGATGATGATGATCATCATCATCATCATCATCATCATGATCATCATGTACAATGTGAAAACACAGAAACCTAGTACTAGGGGCAAAAAAAGGGAAAATATTACTACATCTGTTAATACTGTGTCATCACAGAGCCTTAGAGGGACAGAAATAAAGAAGAAATACGTTAACATGAAGCAAGATGTCAAGAAACGTCTTACCATAGCTGTTCCCAATACATGGCAGGTGATGATATCAATGTAGCAGTCAAAGATGAATGAGAGAATTCATTCCCTTCCAGGTAATTTAAAAATAAGAAATCACCTGGTTTAGATAGACAGTTCGTCTGACTGTGTGTTCATGTTCATGGATGATTTGTTGTTGTGTAACGTTAATCTTATGACAATCTCAGTGTGGCGCTTGATAGCTGTCAGTAGCTTGATACATGGGATGGTATTGGCTTCCTGTGGTTTAATGCAGTGTTCTTCCTTGCTTCTGACTGAATAATGAAATTTTCTATTCATCAGCAGTGGTTGTTAAGTGAATATGAACAGCAGAAAATCACCTTGAATAAAGCTACTACCATAGCTATGGTACAGGTTGTGCAAGAGTGCGTGGCAATACAAAGACTGCTGGAATAAATACTGCATAATAAGTTTCTCTATTTAAAAAGATGGTTAAATCTGCAGTTCAGTTTGTACAGTAAAACATTTACAGACACAACTGTTTACAAGTTGAGGCAATATATTGTCATAAAAAATATCTGCAAAATATTTAGCTTTTATGAATAACAGATTTTCATTTATTCCCCCTCAACCCAGCTAGATCTGATTATAGCTACAGAACTGAATGAGATGGCGCTTCCATCGCTTCCTCCAGATGGAATGTGCTATGACTCTAATGAGTGGTGCTGTAGAAGTGTGACTGTGTTTGTCTTGATGTTCACAGGGAAACCTGAGTGAACTGGGGAAGCTGCTGATGCAGGGATCCTTTAATGTGTGGACTGACCACAAGAAAGGCCACAGCAAGGTACAACTACACATTTTACTAGATAACAGAATCAGAAACGCTTTCTGGATTTTCCAGCCATAGACTTGGCCACTTCTCGTTGCTGTAGCCTACACTGTGTCCGTTGCTACGGTTGCTCGCCTCTTCAGTTTTGGCAAACCAATTATTTGCTTGCTAATAAAACACAGTGTGCTAGCATGGGGAATTTGTCACTGACACCAAATTTAAAACTCCAGTATACTTCGAAATACAGAGAGATTTACCTAGCGCTGATAGGCGTAATCAGTACTATGTGAACTCTTTGGCAATGGCTTTACTATAACAGCCATTCATTTAGGTGTAAAAGTCCAGCACTCCAGCTTTAAACACAGCATCAGGGTTGTGAATTTGTGATTCATCATAAATGGATTTAAAATGCATACAAAATCATCCGTATAGTTTTACATTTTTTTTTTACACATTTATCAAAGAAAGAACATGAACAAAGAAAACCCACTAATGAGAGCAATGATACATTTTCTTAGGTGTGTCTGCACAAAATTGGACAAAGTTGCTGCAAATGGAGCTTAAGATTGCAGGAGTAGTAATTACTGATGATGAAAGGGCAGAGAGTGCTATAAAACATTTATCCTCTTCAATAAGGGAAAAGATGCAAGGAAGGGGAGCACAGAGCAAGAAGCAAGAGGGTTCATGAGGAATATGGCATTAATGGAGAAACACAGTTGCTAACAACACCAGCACTATGTGACACATAATCTATCTCAGTTCTTTACAGTTAGAATACCGAGTTTCCACACTTACACTTATTTCAAAAAGAATATAATAGTTGAACTGATGAGTGATTGCTGGACCAGCAATCAGACATAATGACTGACTGACCTGATTTCAGGTGAAGGACCTGGCCCGATTTAAGCCCATGCAGAGGCACCTCTTCCTGTATGACAAGATGCTGCTGTTTTGCAAGAAGCGAGAGGAGACCACAGATGGACACGAGAAGACCCCGTCCTACAGCTTCAAACACTCACTCAAGGTTAGATTTGCATGACTCCCGGGTGTGCGATAAAGACCCCCTGTAATCTGAAGATCTATAAAAGCAATTTCTCTTTCAGCTGCAAATATTTAAACCCAGCTAAAATGTCGAGAAAGGCTGAACTAAACTGTTAATGAAAGGATTCCTGTGGAGTCATTGACTTCCTGTAGTGCTGTGGAGCTCTTTTTCTATGATTGGAGCCCTGTATTGTTAACTTGTGCATGCATATGAGGACGCACACACGAGTGAAATGACACACATTCCTGCCAGTGGTTTCACGGTATTCAACTGCAGTATTTATAGGTGGCAGCAACACAAATTAATATTAATGATTAATGATAAAATAACTTTAATTACTGCATTTAATTTGAAAGCGGTTATTTGAAGTGATACATTCATAGAGAACTAACATTTGACTTACAGGTTTCTTCGGCACTATGGAGCATTTTAGTGTCTTTTAGATAATTGTTTTGGTTTTATTTGCTCTTCCTCGTTTTCCAGCAGCAGGACGCAGCTGTTTTCACAGAAAATGTTCCAATAAACCAACTTTACACTACCTGCCCTGCAGCAAGTCAAACATTTAGCAGCCGAAGATAGTTCTTTTCCGTCAGATGGACAGAAACAGGACTCCAAATGCGTACTAATGTTGCAATTATCTGCTGAAATTCGTGAACAGAGATGAAATGATGCAGTAACGAAACTGCTGGATGACTGGCGAAGGTCTTTTTCGCATACTTACCAGCCATTGGAATTGACTGATTCTGTTTGTGCCTCCTGCGACAAATGTTTTTTTATCTGAAACCGTGTTCAGGCCATTCATGTTTGTCATTGGTGATATATTCCAGCTCTGACCCTCTTGACTGTGAGAAGAGCCAGAGCAGCTCAATAAAATACAGCATCCTGTGTTTGAGAGTGAAGTGGTTGTAATGACTAAGACTCAGGTATAAGATATGAACTTTTCACACTGTCCAAGTGTTAATCTATAAAGGCTTCACACCTACAGTGTTTGATGAAAGATTATTATTATTATTAAAGATATTTTACGTGTTTAAATGTCATTCAACATGCAACAAAAACTACATGACACACTGTTCTCCTCCAAAATCACCTCAATACCGTGACCAAAAGTCACAACTGATCAGGCTGGATTACCAACTGGGCAAAGTGGGCACCTTCCCTATTGCCCCGGATGCGCAGGAGGCTCAAGAGCCCCAGTTTCATGTGGCACTATCTTGTATGGATATGGTCAGTCCTTCACCCAGTTTTTCACTTTGACTTCCCTACCCTGTTTGTGACATCCAGACAGGATGTGTATACCTTGGTGAGGATGTGAATCTTAAAAAAGCAATAGTTTGACTTTTTTTTAGAGCAAACCTTTAAGTTTCAAAAGTTCAAAGTTTTTTTTTCCTGAGTCTCTCAAACATGTTAATCTGGAAAGTTCAAGTTAACTGAAGTTTTCAGGTCATTTTAGGTTATGTTGATTTCCTCAACTTTCAATAATTGCTCATGTCAAAGATTTGACATATTCTAAACAATAAAGGTTAGTCTTAGATGCTGCCTCATTTACTTCTGCGTCTCACAGTGTCTCTGTCCTGCTGTCTGTCCAGATGAGCGCCGTGGGCATCACAGAAAACGTCAAAGGAGACAGCAAGAAGTTTGAGGTGTGGTACAACGGCAGGGAGGAGGTTTACATCATCCAGGTATGTTGACGCCATTGGAATGGGACAATTCTGTGGATTCTGTGGATGCTTACATCATGAATTCATGATTTCTCCTCTCTGATCACACCTATAGAGATACGTGATGGTAAATTAACACAAAAATGTTTAAGTGTAATTTTTAGTGTTATGATATCTTGATTGAAAAGATCCAGTTAATATTTCATTTTGTCATAGATGCTTGTTGGGAGGCATCCTGTGCTCTTTTCCACAGTTCTCCTCTCGGGGACAGTGTTGCACCATACAGCTTCCCCACTGAGCAGTTCCTCACACACAGTAACAGCATTACTGTAAGAACGCTTTTGTTGTATATGTTGCTTGATTTGTGTTTGTACGTGTGTGTGTGTGTGTGTGTGTGTGTGTGTGTGTGTGTGTGTGTGTGTGTGTGTGCGCGCATGTGTGTTTATTCTTCCCAAGGCTCCTTCCATGGATGTGAAAAATATGTGGGTGTCAGAGATTCGTAAAGTTCTTACAGGCCAGCTGGAGGCATGCAGAGGGGGGCATACACACACACACACACACACACACACACACACACACACACGCACACACACACACACACACACACATACACACACACTCCTGTGCACTTGAGAATATATGCTCATAAGAGCTTCCTATTTGTAGCTGAAGGACAGGCGAGTGATTTTATGAATCCGTTCATCGGTTACCTCCTCGTAGCCCAGTATACCTGTAGTATACATGTAACTTTCTTACTACAGTGCATACGCAGTATACATGGTACATACACTGAAATATTGTATTTCTAATCACACATTCACCTGGTTGCTGTTGCTATATTTTATTGCATCTTCATATTTTCATAAATTCTTATTTATATACAGTTTGATTTTTCAGTTCTATTTCTGTGGCTCTAACCTTATTTCCTGCTGCAACAACTCAATTCTTTTTCTGTTATCATGAACATTTTCGGGTCAATACCAGTATCTGTCAGCACATCTTGGAGTCATCTTTTCGCTGTAGTCTGGAGTTGTGCTTGTCATTCTCTTGAACTGCCAAGTCACAGTCAACTGTCCAATTTTGAAAACTGTCTGTGACCTGCAGACGGAGAAAAATTATATTGCAACAAAAACATAATCACGGTCTGTTCGCATCTATGTAGTTGCCAGAAAGACACAAATGCATCAAAAATACTTAGGACATGTGAATCAATACTGAGTTTCTTATGGGAAATAAGTATTACATAAAGGAAATGTCAGTTTTTTCTTCTCTTAGTCGTTCAACCTTCAATAAATCAGTTCATTTGTGCCTTGAAGCATTCACTCTGGTTACCTAAATCACTGTTGCACACAGGGATTGCATTTATATTTCTGTTTTGGTCGTAGCTTTTATAAGCAGTAACCTTAAGGAAGTGCACTGACAGAATGAAGTTTTTCAACTACACAACATTGATGCTGACAAATACGAATACTACCTACCCAGATACCTGATCTTAACCAAGTGCTGTGAAAGCCTAAATATAATGCAATGCAAATATTTCACAATGATTGATGAGTAGACACTGTATTGCAGGACTGGATATTTAAAATGTGCTGTCAGTAAACATTTTAGGCTTTTCAGATATGTTTTTTCCTCACTATGTTACAAAAGATGCTCAAAGAATTCCATTCCAATTTTTTCCAACATAGCTACAATTAAAACTAGAGATCTACGGTCCATCAGCTCAACAAGAACATGATGAAAATACTACAAACTCTTTATGGAGAACTGCTGCACACAGAGATGCTCAAACAAACTTTCACCAAGAGTTGCCTAAATCTAGTCAGCCCATTTAACTCTGTGCTGTGTAGTGCTGAAATGATTATTTTATAAAATGATTAGTTGCTGGACTGAAAGTTAAAGTTTTCCTCAAGCAATTCAGTAACGCATCTCCATAAAGTTCGGGAGCTCACAAGAGACAGATTACCAAAAGAATAGTCAAAATTAAAGAAGCCACGGTGAAGACATCCTGACTTTTAGTCCATAGTGTGGCTTAATCTTCAAAGTGACATCTCTCAAACATCATAGCCCCAGTTGTTAATACAGGCTTCCTGTTAAAAGCCTGATTACATAAAAAAAAAGCCTGGTTACATAACCGGGGATAACATTACTATGACATCATCGAGGCTAAAGCTCCTCCAGAGCCACACAAGATGTAATATTGCATAGCATTGCAATAAGTTTTGCATAATGCATTATGTTATGTTATATACATGTTTTCAAAGGCCCTTGACCAAAAATTGATTAACATACAGTATCTAAAATCAATGGAGTGCCCCTTTAATTGACATAAATTTTAATAACGGATTAATAGTTTAAGTCATTCATTAAGCAAAAATGCCAAATGTTCTGCTGTTCCAGATTTTTAAGTGCGAAGATGTTCAGCTTTTCTCTGTTTGATCTCATCGTTAAAAAGATATATCCGGCTTTTGCTGTGCTGGTCAGACAAAGCAGCCAATGTGAAGATGTGACTTTAGGCTCTGGGAAACTGTGATGGACATTCCTTACGATTTTGCTCACGACATTTTGTAAACTAAATTAAGAGCATTTAATCCATGGTGAAAATAACTGTAAAATGAATAGTTGCTGCAAAGAATGTACAAAAGGTGAAACATATATGCACTTACGAACACACAGACACACACACCTTTCCTTGGTTCTCTCTGTGTCCACTGGCTTCTATAACCCTCTCTCTTCTTGACCAACGAGCATCAGTCTACCACAGTTCCACTCTGCGGTCCTGACTGACAGGAAAACCACCCTCTGCGCGCCACACACTCTGCCCGACTGACAACCCATCTGTATATGTGGGGGGGACGAGTGTCTGAGTGTGTGTGTCTGTGTGAGCAGACTAACTAATAACACAGCAGCCATGTCATGAAGCCCAGAGAGCAGAGGCTGTAGGAGGCTCAGATAGCCCAGTGCAGCGAGTGTACGTGAGTGTGTGCGTGTGTGTGTGTGTGTGTGTGTGTGTGTGTGATTTACAGCTGCGACCCTGTGTGAGGAGGGTAGAGGAAAGACAAGAGAGATAGAATGAAATTGGACTGGGAAAAGGAGAAGGGAGATTGAACCTAAAGAAGAGGAGACAATGTTGGAATGATGCATGGAGAGAAAAAGACTGACACAGAAAGAGAGAGAGAAGAGAGAATTTCAGGTTGGTGATGGAGACTGAGAGGCAGCACAGAGTAAATGAAGGGAGGCTTGAAGGGATGAACATGAAAGGAGGGAGGAGCAAGTGTGAGGAGAAAGGAGGGTTGAGAAAAGGACGGCAAAGGAGAACAGCAGTCATTTCAGCTCAGTGAGCTGAAGGGAGATGGAGACACAGTACGAATGTGATGAGAGAGAGAGAAGTATAGAAGATGGATTACAATATGAGTGGTGTGTTACGTAAAATATACAAATGTAAAGGTAGAATCCATATTGAAAACAAAAGGCAGCAAGTTTAAACAAAACAATTTGAAGTCCACTTACTAGCCTCTGAAACTTTGTGCCGTAGCTCACAGTCTTTTTTTTTTAAATTATTACTATTATTAATTTACTGAGTCAAAGAATGGATGTTCTTCTCCATGACGATCGACCACACTCAAACGAAGACCACGAGATGTTGCTGAAAAAGCTAGCAGGTCAAAGTTTATCCATGATCTGTTTCCAAGATCGAGAATGACCTTTCATGCTACACTGGAGTTCATGCTAGACTGGAGTTCTATTTTCATACTTTTGCCATCATTTCTATCAGTAATGATAATGTTGAAGTCGCCAAAGTAATTGCAGAGATCTGTGGTGACATCACCACAAAGAAATGTGATTGGGCAAAGAACAAAAGTAGTTTGATGACCATCAGCCAATGGTTTACCCACATTATCTAAAACTCTAACTGACTGCATCCAAAATGCTGGCACACTAAAACTGTGTATGCACATACAACTATAGCCAGTACAGAAGGTAATGATGTTTAGATCAGTAATAAAATGATTGCCTGACGGCCTGGGATAGTTGTTGGATAAATACTTGAATTCATTAGTTTGTGAGTAGGAGTAAAAGATTTTTCTGTTTTACTTTTAGCAGATAAATATGGGCCCTGGGGGGGGGGAATTATTTAGCTGATATTAATGTTAAACCAGCTCTCTGAAAACAGAGAGACAGAACAAGAAAACAACAGAAATGGAGACGGAGAGAGAGAAACAGAAAGTGTGCCCACATATGGATAAGCAAGAGAGAGTGCAAATGGAGAAAAGTGCAACTAAATCTAGACTTGTAATATAGTTCTAAGAAATACTGTGGTTTGTCAGTCAAATGCACCGAACTCAAAAGCAAAGTGGCTAACATGGTCATCCAGAGATTTGATTGTGAAAGCCTGTCTCATATGAATAGGTCCATTCATCTCGATTGTGTTGGGGTAGAGACAGATATGTCAGAGGCAGACAAAAATCAAAATCTGGACAAAAAAAACCCTAAAACTATCTGGTGGTTGGATACCACTCAAAATGATTTTATGTCATGTTGGTGCCCTTGTAGAATTGTAAACATATTGAACATTGTGTATTCTGTTATAAACTATTGAAATATTATTTGGAGGCATGTCTGACCTCAGGACTTTTCTCCTCAGCTTCTGAGCCTTCTGACCAAATTCTCTCGCATCATTATATATAACAAAATAATGGATAAAGCTTGTGAAAAAGAATATGACATATCAAATTTCGACAACTTTGTTTGCATTGACGCTGAAACTAAATGCCATACTATACTGGGACTGTACTTGGTAACCTTATGTAGCTGCCTGTTACGCAGCATCATGTTATTAAGGTATTCTGTGGTATTTAGAAACCGTGCAGATATGATCTTCTATTAATATGAGCCACCAGATTTAAGTCATGATAGAGATGACTGGTGGAACAGTCGGGCAGCTTAGCTGAAAAACACAGGTGGGTCTCCCTGTTTGGTGATATTTGTGGTTCAGATCCAATGATAAAGATGAGTCACCCAACATATGCACTATTCGCTCTGAGGAAGCTGTAGTGAAAACAGATAACGTACCATTGCACAAACCTCAGTGTGACCAGCCTTTATAAATAAAACATAGCTAGATTCATAATGAAAAATATATCCCTTTTGCTGAATACAATATTTGGAGCATATTGAAGGATTCCATGCTGACTCTGCATTTCTGCAACAGGTTCATTGGTTGCTTGGAACAAGAGGTGTCGAGCCAGATCATTCATAGAGCTTGGTATTTCACTTATGTGAGCTATGCATTTGGGGAAGGCTGTGCCTTCTTGTCTGCAGTTATGATACTAGAGTCTTCTTTAGAGAGTTCTTGTCCGACAGCAGAATCCTGTGGCAGGCCCGATTTGGTAACGTTGCATTTATGAAGCCTCTTGTTTAGATATGAGTTGGTCTCTGAAGCTGTTTCCCCAGGGATTTTAGTGTTCTGATGTTTCCCTCTTTCTTTCTAGAGCCAATAAAGGCCAATAAAAATGAGCTTACACAGTTGACACAGCAGTTTGGGCGATTTTAAGCTTGGAAATAACTTAGAAATGTTAGAGTGGAAGGAGAGAGAGGGATCAGAGACGCTTCCAAGGGTAAAAGATGTCATCCTTTAATACTGCTCCAGAGGTCAGACACTGAAAATACAGCCTGAAACCCAATAAACTTCCTTTTCTGGCTGATCACAAAAACAGCAGGTTAGCTATTTTTTTATAACTCATCCTGTACTATTTTTCCTCCTTTGTTTTTAAAGGTCCCATATTTTAACACTTTTAGTTAGATCTGTACTATTCATGTCTCTATGAAATTAAATAAAACTATAATTGTTTTAACAAAAAAATAGTCTTGATTTTCCACCACTTTTCTGATGGCCTCTTTCTGTCCCAACCACAGCAGATTTTGCTGTTAGGCACATGTAACCGCCCACTATTCATCAGCAAATGCTCCGACTGGCTAAGCACAGATCAACTCACAAGGCCAACTGGGTTCAGATTTGGCAGAAGGCCATGGTAATCATGGCATGTACAGAATGTATACAAAATTCAGGAACTCAGTTTTGCCCGAAAGGCTGCATAATTTATTTTTATAGTAAAAATGTGGACACTAACATAAATGTAGAGCAACATTCACAGTTTATGCTGATGATCAGCACACCTCTACCCGCCATGATTCTCCCTCACCCACTCACACTAGCCCACACTGCTAGCTTACTGTTAGCCATTAGGCTTAGGGTTAGCGGAATGGCAGTAGTAAAACAACTTCACCGCTTTTATTTTTCATATCTGAGTTTATAAAAAACACAAAACATAATCATAACCCATAATATGCAATATGCAACTTTTAATATCTTGACCTGTGTAATGAATCACCAGCTATTAGCATCTATCTTCTCCTGTATCCTTCATGTCCTGTGCAATACAGATTCAACAGGACCAGACACTAATATAGGGACAGAGAGGATTACAAACCTGAAAGGTAACATGACATTTTTGACCTGTAGTTGTGTTTCATCTGTCTTGTGCACACACACATGTGCATGCACATATATGCAGTTGACGCAATACACATTTCTGCTGGTGGTTTCACACTGTTCCACTGACCTACAGGTGGCAGTTATGCACTAAGATAAAGAACAATGCCAACAAAGGAGAAGAAATCTCCTAGTTACTAAACACCAGATATATACAATGGAGGTTTCAAACTCTGAAAGTGCCCACATTATGTTTTATGGGGTTTTCTGTTTTCCTGTAGTGTTTTTTTCTTTGCCTTTATGCTTTTTTGTGCATGTAAAAGCCCTGCCAAGTTACAAAGCCCAGTCAACAGAAAACACTATGGGACAGCAGAATAACATTTTACTAGCAACATTAGCTTTGGTATTTCCTGACAGAAGACTTTTTTTGGTTTTACGCATTGTGATTGATGTTCATTCTCTCCTCTCACATATTCTGGATTGAATTCGGACTCAAACTTGTACAGATGGATTTGAGAAGTTGCCATTACCAATCAGTTCTGTTACTTCGTTTTACTATTTGGTCTCCGAAGCTCCAGAGCGGTAAGGGGATCAGGCAGGCTGTGCTGCCCCCGGGTAGGCTTGCGGAAGTTTGGCCAATCAGAAGAAAGTGGGCTTTTAAGGCGGCCTGAGCTAATATTGCCTTTTTATTTTTTAGTTACCCCAGTGGAGTCCCAGATTAAAAATATAGACCTGGAAATGAGCATAATGGGTACCCATTAAGAAAAAGCAGCTTTGTAAATGCTTTATAAAGAAGGAGATACATTCATGTTTTTTTGTTTGGTAGGAAGACAAATTTGTTTTTCCCCACATAGAGAACTGAAACTTACATTGTACCTCTATATAATGGTGAACAATATGGACTATGGACTATTAATTTGACAGAATGTGGTAGTTTTATACTGTATGCACTATGTGCAGGTACTGTATCTCTAACTATACATTAATATATATATATATATATATATATATTGTCCCACCTATTAGGGGAGTTGCTTTGTGTTTGGCTGAGTCACTGTTACCATAGATTTTGTTTATGTTGCTTTATTTATATTTCTCATGGATATACATGCACAGTCTGGATATGCTTTGAGGTTATTGCCCATTTTTTGTTATTTTGCCTGGTAAAAAAAAAAATGACAGTGTATGATATGTAACAGTTCTGTAGCATTGCATGTGTCTGTCAAAAATATCAATTAAAAAAAACAAAAGGGGCAAAAGCAGAACCACTGTAATGTTTCAGGCCTCCAGCACCTCTTAGTGCAGGACACCAGAGACCACAGTTTAGATCTCATCTCAACACTGGTTTTTTTAACCATGATTTTAATCTTTCCCTAACTTTAACCAAGTATTCTTCAAAGTTTAAACTTCATCAGACCTTCATCAGTGAGGTGGCAGATCAGAAAATGTTCATATAAATAATATCTTGAACAGTCAAATGGATTTTTATGGTAGACACAACCAATATTGTCATTTGATGCACAGTAAAGTGTAATTTCTCTGTTGTGTTCACAGAAGCCAGTCAGCTCAACATCTATGGAGCACCGATGAGGTGAGCAAACAACATTATGTTACAAACGACAAAGTGACATAATGTCTCTTCTTAGCACATGAAAGAGCTAATATAAGAGCTAAAAAGTTAAAGTGTCAGTCTAGAAGATTTTCATTTTAATAGATAGTGACTTAACAGACATTTATCACCGAATGAGCCAACACAATAGCGACTGAGCCCACTGATGAAATTATTGCAATATTTATATACAGTGCATTCAGAAAGTATTCAGACCCTGTCACTTTGTTCACATTTTGTTATGTTGCAGCTTTATGCTAAAACCTTTTATCTCATCAATCTACAGTCAATACATAATGACAAAGTGAAAACAGAATTTTAGAAGGTTTTTCAAGATTGTTAAAAGGGAAAAAAAAAATCTTAGTTCTTACCGCTATCGTTAATCAAAAATGTGTCAACAGAATATGACAACAGTCATTTTCAGCATTTCAGCAGATCAGTTTGAAATATTGCAGGGAGTAATGGAACAAGAAGGAGCAGCCACAGTGAGCTGTTAGATGACGAGCTGCAGGCAACAGGCTACACACCTCCAACCTCTCAACAGTAACCGACTCCTTTCACTTTGCCCTGCTGTTCGCAGGCTCATGCCGTGTGAAACAGAAAATCAGATCCATGGAAAAAGGCCAATTATTATCTGACTTCTCTATCAAAACAACAATAGTTTGTTTTGCTGCCCCCAGAATTCTGTGACCTCTTAAAACACCTGTAGATTTTTACCTACAGACCTACAGATTTTGTAGAGGATGTGACACCTTGCACTTTGTAGTTAGGACATTCTGCTTGAGTCATTTCATTGGCTTACACCAATCTTACTTGTCCCTCTACTCCAATAGGAATGTGCGGAAGTTGGCGCTGAGACAGTCTGATTCATCAAGTCCAGAGTCCGGCTTCCGGAGGACCAACCCCAGCCCTAATATGAGACAGAAGAGAGGTAGAACAGACTTTTTTCTTTATGAATAATTATTTTGACTGCAAAAGCATCTCAACTCTCATTAACTCCTGGAGGAAGTGAAATGGGATATGAAGTGTGCGCCATTAAGTTAAGTGTTGAGTTTAGTTTGGCATCACAGTGTAAAAAGCAATACAAGGCCAAGTGAGACAGCACGTCCACACACACACACACACACACACACACGCAAAGAAGAATTGGGAAAGAGAGTCTATGGGAGGTGATGTAAGTTTATTTTCTCATTTCGACTGATAAGATCAGTGTGACCAGTCAGACAGTACGTCACACATCACTGAATCACTGATGAGGAGGGAAGAGAAAAAAAAGATTGCATAGAAATTAGGATTTTAGAAGAGCCTACTGGTTCCATAGTATTACAACACCTTTGAGCTTTACAAATACATTTTTATTATTTCATACTGACACTGAGTCAATGTAGTTTATTCAGTTGCCAGTTTATTAGCAGGGTTTGACCAAGGGCCCCAGACCCCCCTTGCACCCAATTGCCCCCCATAACATTCAGTGAAAAATCAGTTATGTTGGCATGAGTTAAATAGGAGCATATTAATGATTCCTTGTACACTGTGAGACACCAAGCTGGTATTTTACGATTTACACATTCTGCAACTTTCATGGATACATTTGTCATGATAGATCCGGTTCTGTTCCGTTAGACCGACGAGTCACAGATGTCTGTAACACTACAGAAGCACTTCAAAAAACACTGAAGGTGTGGATTTCCATTCATTGCTCTCACTCAGAATTGGCTTTACACACACACACACACACACACTCCTCTTCCAATCACTACTGCTAGAATGAAGGTAAAGGTTAAGGACAGTTGAAAGCGGCTGTTGTTTTTTGGTCTCACCCCTCAAATGGGTGTGCGGTCACTATTATAAAACCAACTGTCCAAACCCATACCTGTCTCTTCACATCCATTCACACCTCCTACTCTTTTCTCTTTTTTCCTCTTCCTCCTCTGTCTCTTTCACTCGCATTCTCTCTTCTCTCTCTCTCTTCTGTCACCCTTCCTGCCACCTTTGTCTTCAGTCCTCTCTCTGCACTCCACCCACTGCTCTGTGTTCACCTTTCTAACTCTCTATTTCTCCTCTCTGCCATTCTCTCCTTTATCAAAAGATATCTTTTTGCCTTCTCTTCTTTTTTTTAAATGATTGGCAGTGCAACATGGAAAAGTAAATATTAATGGATTTTATCACTTCTATTATTATTATATGACTTTGTCTTGATTCTTTTTGGTGGATTGCCTTGCTCTAGGTTTTGGAACCCCCCCCCATAACATGATGCTGCCACCACCATGTTTCACTGTAGAGATGGTATTTATCCAGGTGATGAGCAGTGCCAGACAGTCTTTGGAGTTCTGCCGAAAGAGTTCAGAAAATCTTTTTCTCCGTGCTCATGGAGTCCTTTAAATGCAGTTAGGCAAACTCTAAGCAGGCTGTCATATGCTTTTTACTCAAAGTTGCTGCCATCTAGTCATTCTGCCATAAAGGCCTGATTGATGGCGCGCTGCTGTGATGTTTGTCCTTCCAGCAGGTTCTCCCATCTCTGCAGAGGACTTCTGAATCTGTCTTCTAATGACTTGAAGTCCATTCTTGCCAGGTTACTTGGTTTGGCTGGACAAACAACTCTAGGAAGAGTCCTCGTAGTTCCAAACTTCCTTTCATTTGATCTCATCTACACGTGTAGATGACTGGATCTCAGACAGTTGTGATGCTGTCATGGTGTCAAAAATCTGCCCGTCGAAAGACAGACATGTAACCTACTGTAGTACTCAAAACCACCTCTGTGGTAGCTCCTGCTACAGTAGGTGTCTCCAGGACCACATTTTGCCATGATGACACACACATACACACACACACACACACACACACACACACACACACACACACACACACACACACACACACACACAGACTCACAAGGTGAAAATAATACCAACCCTGCTTTTGCAGCTGGTAACTATGTCCAATCAGTTCAGTTTGTCACAGTTGGACTCCAGTCAAGTTGCAGACATATCTCAAGGCTATCTAAAGCAAACACAATGCACCTGACCACTTTGGTGTCACAGCAAAGGGTCTGAATACTTTTTATAAATGTCATTGCTGGTGTTCGGGTGTAGACTGATGGGGAAAAATAGACAATTTTCTCATTTAAAATGAAACAATATAACAATATAATGAAGTGTGCAGAAAATGAAAGTGAATACTTTCTGAAGCCAGTGTAGATGGATAGATGGAGCAGGAATATATGGGTCTTAGTCCAATATTTCCGCCAGTGTATTCCAAGCCTAAGTTGATCCCCTTCCAGACCTAAGCATCAGGGAATTTGTGGCGGCTCGATTGGAAACCCGAGCCTTGGGTTGACGAGTGCAGCCGTTGGGCATCAATGAAAAAAGTGGCCCTGTCAGTCTCTTTCAGCCCTCTCTGTGTGCCTGTCATTGAGAGTGTGCTGTGTGCACGCATGTTCCAGGACTGGGATCCCTTCACCGACCTGACTCTTCGCTCTAATGTACAGGATGTGTGATTTGAGTGAATATGTCTCTTCTGTGCTGCTGACTTTTTCTGCTGACAGGCTGCTGCTTCTGCTTCTCTTCATAGCTATAGTTATGTGTGTATATGCTTTCTTCACCAAAACCCTGGTTCATTCTCTCTCACACCTCAACAGTTGGCCATTTTTAAGCAGCTCCATCCATGCCAGAAAGAGCTAGTCATTTTTTGAAAATAAAACTCTGGCTTGAAAATGAAATTTTTTTGACACCTTCTGCTTCCCTTTTCTTCTGGGTATCGAACCTCAATACTTTATAGTAGCATTACCAGTATACTAGTCATTCAGCATCAAAAAAGTAAGGAAAGTTGTTATTGAATGTTTGCTTCTTGGCCTTGTTTAGTATTTTTCTTTCATCAGATATTTCCTGATCTAAATAAGGAAACCTTTCTAACTTCTAACAATATTTTATGTTTTATTTAGACATTATAAACAATTTTCACATTGAGACATTTTCCAACTAGGAAAATATGAGACTTTGATATACTGACCATAGGTTACACCGTTGATAATGATAATGAATCTTCTAATAGGAAATGTTAAGCTGAAGTGAATCTTTAAGGTCAACAGACATAGTTACTTGATTTATATTGTGATATATGTAAATATTGACTGATAAGAAACAAAATTATTGGAATAAAATTGTTTGCCATAACACCGAGCCCTTTATAGCCAAAGTTGATTAATTGATCGTTCATCCACTGAGCAGTTTGGTCTATTTTGTTAAATGAAATAAAGCCTTGAAACAACTCCGTACTAACAACAAACCAAACTGGATATTTATTTATTTGTTTCGGTATTGGTACCAAAACTCAGTTATCATATTGCCATCAATATAGAACATTTTCAAACAAAGCTCAAGGCCTGATCTTACTCATCTTTCCCTGCTTCACTAACTCCAGCTCCCTCTTGCTTTCCCTCTCAGTTGACGTTTCCGCCAACCAATCAGGCCACTCGGTTGCTAACGCTAGGAAACGCTTCACGTTGCAGGGACTTTCCAACAGGAGGTCTCTTCCAGCAGGTAACAGTATGACGTTGGCACGTCAAGTTTGCGCTCATGCCGCCTTCATTACTGGCACCTCTGCCAACACCATCGTCCTCATTGTCTGCTTTCTGTTCTCGTTATCTGTTACCGCTGTCATGATACTCTTCATCATAATGACAATCATCATCATCATCCTGAACAGCACCACCATCTCTCCTGCCTCAGTCTTTTCTTCTTCAGTCTTCGCTCTCCTGTCTTACAACTGCTGTTGTCCTTTCCTTTTTTTTCCCCTGCAAATGTTATATAAATTTCTGTGTCAGTGCGTATCTCGCTGTTGGGTAGATCTCTCTGCGCGTCCCGGTGCCCGCGGTGTCTCAGCATAAAGGCCACATCTCCCTCTACCCCCCCCTCCCCCCCGTTCTCTGCTTTTATCTGTTCATGTCAGTATCATCTGTATCTGCCCACACAACAACAAGGAAACTGTGATTTAGGAGAGAGAGGGGCAGGGTACCGTTGAAGAGACAGGATCTGAAGACAGGTAGACAGCAGGTGATAAACAGAGAGACAGGCTGGACTAAATTCTGTGTGGCACTGCTGCGCTAAATGCCACCCTTTAATATTCGAGCCCTCTTGACATTTGGAAGCATATTAACATTTTTGGAGGAGGGTGAACCTTCCAGGGTGTGTTTTTCCATGTTGCAGCAGTCCGGCCAGTCTTCAAGCCACACATGCCCCTAATGAGGCTGCTGAGTGAGCTGGGGAGACAGGTAATGGAGACAGTTGTCTAGTCAAGCTAAAATATCCAGGAAACCCACAGTAATCCAACAACCTCTGTGCACGAAGCAGGTGAAACTGAAATGTTGAAATCTGTTTTTATGGAGCTTCCAACTACAAATGAAATCATAATGAATAATATGAATAACCATACATTATCAAACATTATCTTTTATTGATCTTAACTGCAGAGAGAACCAGGGCTGTGTCCAAAACCACTCTCTTGTTCATTCAGTCATCTCTCCCTTTACAATGGAGACTCAATAGTTTACCCAGTAGTGAGCCGTAAATTGAGATTTCAGACACTTATCATTATCATTTTGCGTCATTACTCACAGCTATTGAATCGCCTTTTCACATCTAGAAAATGCGGTGAATTGCATTGTGGGATTGTTAGCAGAGAGTAGTATCAACTGAAAGGACACTACAATTTTTATTCCATTGTGGGATTTTTTAATGGAATTATACAAAGGATAAATTTACACACTAAAATAGCAGACAGTGAATATAGTGCACTAATCAACAGGGAGTGATTTCAGTCATAGGCCAGGCTTTTATTTCGAAATCAGGCTTATTATTAAAGACAGGCCTTTATTACTTACTTCCTGTTTTATAAATATATTTTTAAGATGCCTCCATGGTTTCTGATCTGATT